AGAGAGGCAAATGACTCACTGGTTTATGGAGCAATAGCAGGACTTACAAAGCTGTTACTTAAAATAGGAAAACAATTAGGCCTCATGGAGACTTAATGCACAGGCCGAGAGATGCTGGAAACTTCTCATGTCCTTCTGAGGTCTGTATCTCAGATGATTCCCTTGGTGTGTCCTGGAGCTCTTATTTGCTCCATTCTTTTTAAATAGAGAAATAGACAAATACCTAAGTTCTCATCATAGACAAATACCTAAGACTCTCATCAGAGTCTGAGGCCCCAGCCCTGACCTGACAGTTACCCTTCAGCAGATGCCCTATGGTTGGCTACAGGCATGACAGATAAACTATTGCATATAAACCAAACTAGCTCTGTAAAACAGGTGATGACTTAGGAATATTCTACAGATTATTAAAGATAGAACCAACAATGTAAGCCCAAGTAGAAGGTCAGCAACACTGACCATGTGGTGCACCGTCCTTGAAGAGAACCTGAATGGAGGACAGTGGCCCTGCAACGGGGGCTGAGCAGAGGGCAGGGCCATCACGTTTCATGCATTATAAGAACAAAGCAAGAAGAAAGCAAGAGCGCATCTCTGCTGAGCTAGCACTAATGATAATCCAACTTGCTTTTGCAAAATTAAAAAAAAAAAAAGTCTATGCCATTTGAAAGTCTCCTTAAACATAACATGGGGAAACATTTGTAATTGAAGCCACAGTAAAATTTTTAAAAGGCTAAAGTGAGCCATGAAGAACAATGCCGCTACAGACCAAACTCTATTTTCTCACAAGCGGGCACTTTGGAGGTGTATTAAAGCGCGGATGGAAGGAAGCAGGCCTGGGCAGCACTGGGCAGGAGCCTGGCTCACCACGCTGCACAGCGCCCCCTGGCTTCAGATCTGTCCCCCTGCCCTTATTTGTTCCATTCTTTTTAAATAGTGAAATAGACAAATACCTAAGTTCTCAATAGCAGGAGGCTCTTTCAAAAATAAAAGTGTCTAGGAGTGCTGTGTCTAAATGACCAGCATAGGCAGCCACGCTCAGAAACACTAAAACAGAGCGAAGGAGAAACAGGCTGATGGTGTAAACAAAGAAATTCACCTGTGAGTGCACCAGATCCTAAGGACGCTGGTGACATGGTTAATGAAAAATAAAATAATTTCTGAAAAGGTATTTAAAACCTGATTAAAATACTACAAAATCTATAAAACACATTTTAACGAGGCAGAGCCTAACCAGACCCAGTTTTCTCACAGCGGTTATAAGTTACTTGGTGGCAAACATCTGGCAGAATTAAAGCGAATCTGCCCATAGTCTTTACAAAGACAAGCGTAACCCGACTTCCCAACCTTCTCTGTGGTCAGCAGGGCAGGTTACCAGGGAGCCATCCTCCTGAAGAATATGTTCACCGGCCTGCTCCTCAAAGACAAGGCGGGGCTTTAAACTGACTGAGAAAAAGAAATGCAAAGGGATCTAAGCACAGGAAAAGGTGCTCAACCTGACTCAAAAAAAGAAATAAAAAGCAACATGGAATCTCATTTCTCAAATATATAACCCGGAAAAGATGCCGAAGCTTTCCACCTCCTGCCTCGCAGAGGCGGCGGAGGGCCTGCGGCTCCCAGGCGTTGCAGGTGGTAGGGAAGCTCCCGCTCTCAGGAGGGAATCTGGGAACAGTAAAGTGGGGCTGGGTGGCTCCGGAGAGAGCACTCGCCTCTCCTGGTGGGGCCCTGGGGCCCACCCCCACCAAAATGGAGCCATTAAAATAGACAGACATTTTCCCATTGATACAGTGTCCCCATTGTAGAGAGTCCATCTCAATGGTACTGTGACAACAGTATGAGATACAGGTGCACACAGACTACAGCTGTAGCAGCATTTGTGATAACAAAAGGAAAACCTCAACCAAGCAGTGACCTAGACACTGGATTTCAGTGATGCTCTGTTCTGAAAGATGGAGGACATACCCATGCACTACTCAGGAGTGATCTCTAGATATAATTTACACTACAGAGGGGGAAAAGGAGGTGGAGGAAATGTATGAATAACTCTGTTGATATCACTCGGTAATAGGAGTTTTTTTGCCAAGGTAGAAAGCAGTGTTTGTAATATTGGTGGGATTTTAAACAAAGATTCCACAAGCCTGAAATTGAAGTGAGAAAGTCCACATAACTAATGGTTTGCACTCAAAAGACATATGCATGTCTCTTGGCTTTCTGAACTAGGTACAAAAGAGCAACCAGCCTGGTCAAGTGAGTGCCCCAGGCGGGCACGAAGACTGACCGGAGGGAAACCGGAGCTCTGAGAAGCTTGCTCCCCCTGGCCAAAGACACAGGGGCTCACTGTGGTGTTTTTTTCTTTTAAGTTTTTGGGTTTGAAATTTTTCTATAACAAAAGGTCGATATCTTAAGAATGAGTGAAACATTGTTATGGTTTAGATGTGAGGTGTCCCCCAAAGCTCACGTGTGAGGCAATGCAAGAAGGTTTAGAGGAGAAATGATTGTGTTCTGAGAATCTTACCCCAATCAGTGAATTAATCCCCTGATAGGGATTAACTGAGTGGTAACTGAGGTGGTGGGTGTGGCTGGAGGAGGTGGGAACTGGGGTGTGGCTTTGGGGTATATATATGTATCTGGCCAGTGAAGTCTCTGCTTCCTGATCATCATGTGAGCTGCTTCCCTCTGTCACCCTCTTTAGCCATGATGTCCAGCCTCGCCCCGAGCCCAGGGAATAGAGCCGGCCTCCTGTGGACTAAGACCTCTGCAACCAGGAGCCCTTAAATACACTTTCCTCCTTTACAGTTGTGCTGGTCAGGTATTTCAGTCACAGCAGTGAAAAAGCTGGCTAAAACAGACATGAACTATTTTTCAAAGCGTCCTGAGTGTGTAGAGGAGTCTTGAGAAGGCTGTTTAGAGATGCGTCCAGTTTAATGGAGAGCAGGATCTACCAGGACACAATTGCCTTCCTAAAAATATTAGAAACAAGAGTTTTCCAACCTACACATGATTGCTTATTGGCTTTTGAATGCTTTTGTTAAAAATATAAAAACACAAATCCTTTCAACGAGCTTTTCTAACACATTATGAGACTCAATATAAAACACTGTATTGTTAATAGATTTCCTGAGAAAATGAGCCTTAAGACTCCTAAAGTCTACATTGCAATCGGCATCTTCCATTTGGGTTTCTAAATTATTTTGAAGTATAGATGTAGATATATGCATGCTATGATTGACATTAAAATTAAGTACTGAAATAAATTGAACTTAAAGCTCAACCATTGAGTCAAGGTATCATAGTTTCAAACTACAATTTTCAAAACCATTGAGGCATAATTAATCATATTATAGCCGTTAAAATATATAATCAGTAGGTAGCAACACCTATCACACTCCATATACAAAAATTAACTTAAAATGGATCCATGACCTCATATATGAGGCAAATGTTAGAAGAAAACAGGAAAAAATATTCATCATTTCAGATATAGCAATGGATTGTTACTGATACCAAAGCAACAAAATAAAACACAAAAAAATGGACTTTATCAAAATTTGAAACTTTTTTTCATTAAAGAACATTATCAGGAAAGCGAAAACCTATAGAATGGGAGAAACATTTGCAAACCATAAATCTGATATGGTCTTAAATGCAGAATATGTAAAGAACTCTCACACCTCAAAAAAAAGACAGACCATCCTATTTAAAAATGAGCAAATGTCTTGAACAGACATCCATGGGAAGCAGATGCATAAATGGCAAACCAGTTCATGAGAAGATCCTCAACATTACTGCCCTTAAATAAAATCCAAATCCATCACAGGATCCTGCTTCACACTCACTGGGGCCTAGTAACACACAGCAAGACAAGGACCAGTGCCACTGAGGATATGGAGCAGAGGGAACCCTTGGGACCACTGTCATCCATACAAAAGGGCAAAACAGCTGTGAAGAGTTGAGTGTTCTAGAAAAGGCTAAGCACAGATTTCTGCTTCTAGGATACACCTGTGGGAAGTGCACAAGTGAGTCCATGCAGAACCTCACACACAAATGTTCCTGGTAGCACTACTTGTAATTGTCTAGTGGGACACAACACGAGGGCCCATCAACAGGTCAAAGGATAAACACATTGTGGACGACAGACTATTACTCAGCTATGAAAAGGAGTGGCATCAACACGTGCCATGAGATGACTGATCCTCAGTTGCCTATGCCAGGTGAAATAAGGCAGACCAGAGGTTGCACACTGTATGGTTTTGTTTTTAGAAATATCCACAGTGGGCAAATCCATGGAGACAGAAAGCCCAGTAGTGATGGCCAGAGGCTGGGGCGAGGGGCAAGGGGTGATGGCTTTGTGGGGACGGGGTATTCTGATGGTGAAGGAGTTTAAAACTAGAGGGTGGTATTTGAACAACACTGCATGTACCTGATGCCCCTGCACCGTGGCTCAAAGTGGCTCACAGCATGTCACAGGAACGTCACAACTAGGGATGAGAGCTGTGAAAATCATATAGTACAGGGAAAGGGGGTTCTGTGATGCTAACAGGTAAAAATGCCTTAAATATTAAATAGCTCAGCTTGAACTCGTTCTCCTTTAATCTCTTTTGCACATAGGTTCTTTCACCTACACTGTGTGCGTGCTTGACACTTTTAGTGCTGGGGCATACAACTTAAATCTTTGGATAATACTGTTCTAGATCCAGGGTAACAAATCCAGGACTGGCAGTGTCAATCGAAACCACAGACAAACTCTGAACCTTGGCTGAATAATATTTTCCAGTTTATCTCAATGCCTTTTTGCACATTATGTATTCTCTCGTTCAACACAGTCCCCTGGAGTCTTATATCTTTCATGATCCATCCACTAATGTTTCTTATCCAGAAATGATCAAATTGAAAATTTCAACCTAGGGCTTAGCACCAGCTATGTCTAAGAGAGTTTTGTATCAGTGGTCATACGTCTCTTCTTAATCAGTATTAAAATGGAACAAATAAAGAGCCAGACTTACCCACACACGGCAGGGAGTAGCCGAGCTGAGGGTCATGGAGGAACTGCCGGTCGTTGAGCCTGGTCACGCAGTAGAGGTGGAAGCAGTCTAGGCAGATCACGTGGCGGTGGGTGCACTGGAAAACCAGGACAGGGCTCCTGTGTGGACAGGGAAGGGGTTTCTTGGGGTGCCTCCAGGGGCAGACAGGCAACCGGGCTTCAGGACCCTGTCTGCAATCCCACTGGGGGCTCAGGGCGTGCTCTGAGCCAGGACCTGGGCTTCGGAGCCCCCTCATGGGAGCCAAGAGAGGAGCTCCGTGGACTGCCTAGGCCATCGGTCCCTCAGCATCAGGTTGCTCCATCAGTGCATCTACCAACCGTAGTTCAGACCTGAGCTTGACTCGGATCTCTTTCTAGAAGCCTCTCCTGATTCATAATTCCCACTTACCCTACCCAGTCCGCCCACCATGGCGTCTGCTTCTCTTGACCTGTGATGACCTCAGGGTATCACGGTGTTTCTCATCCCATGGACTGTGAGCCCCTTGCAAGTGGACGCTGTGTCTGCTACATCAGTATCCTCACAGTGCTAGGCCTTGTGAGGTTCCACATAAATGCCCTGTGGATTGAGTTACAATGAAGTATAAAATCTGAGCTTCCCCAAAGTCAAAGGAAAATTTCAATTGCACCAGGGGAGGCAGAGGCAGCGGTCACTCGCTTCTCACTGGCAAACAGAAAAGCAGATGCTGGAAATAAGATCATGCAACAGGCATTTTTCTATTTCAAGGTTTTGTCTATTCTGCCACCTACATCCCATCCAAATATTCAGCTTCTGAAATTATGGTTAGAAGATTACTAATAAATCAATACATACAAATCCTAGAGCTCTGTATCTCCTTAAAATACCTCACGGAAAAACAGATCTCCTGAAAACTATGAAGCTTTGCTTACAAATGAGCCACCTGTGTTTGTGTCAAAAAAGGAGACAAAATGAATACATTAAATTGAGATCAGTTCTGAGGCAATTGTAACAGTAAGAAAGTTCTGGATTCAATTTAGATAAGCCTATTCCCCATGTAATGATTAGAAAAAGTACAAAACATGTTTACTTCATACTCAGTTCTGAGCAGCTATCAAGACTCTCCACAAAAGCTTTTTCTCTAGAAAAATAATATCAAATATTAATATAATAGAAGATAATTTCTTAACAATTAAAATAAATTTTCAAAATTCTGTTATCTCACTTATTTCAAAGCAATGTCTAACACAAACCCAGGTGGAGAAATGCCCCTTGGCAGGTTGATGCTGTGGATCTGAGAGTCACTGGCCACTCACTACACCTGAACAGAGGCCTTGGGTGGGTTTACGCATGTCCCCATGTCCCCTCTCTGAACCTACGAAAAGTCCTTTCGGGACCTCCATTTCCATCTCCAGAGCCGTGGGTTATTAGGCATCGATGGCTCTGGACTTTTGACCTTCTCCCTCCTACGACTCCCCTTTGAAGACAATAAAACATAACGCTCTCCTGTGTCTAACCTAAGTCCCCAGTGTGCGATGCACTGCCATCCTGGATCCACCCAGGGACCCCATGAAGCTGCTGCAGGCCTCCTTCCCGTCACAGCTAAGCTGGGTGGTCCCCTGGCTGACTGAGCCTGATGGGCCCCTGTTTTACTATCAGCACAGAGGCATTCTGGAGAAAATATGAGAACATTTGTAGAAAGTGTAGAGATGACAGGAAATAAAAAGAAAACTTGTAAAATCAGAGCAGCCAGCCCACTGCCGCAGTGACGGGGGCACGGACACCAAGGTCTGAGGTGCACAGCCCTGGTCTAGCAAGCGGCTCTCTCCTTCCTCCTCGTATGGGATGACAGCAGCACACACTCCCAGTTCCCGTCAGTTACCCGAGGCCCGACACACTAGACCGTCCTCGCCACTCACCCCCATCTGCTCCTGAGCAGTGCCTGCTGTTTGCACCAGATTAGCAAGGAAGGGTGACCACACGGGAGGCCACCGTGGGAGAGAGACCCACACAGCTCAGGGCCCCCACCAGGGGCGATTCAGAGGCCAAGTGCGGGGCCTACAAACACGCGCCTTCTAAAAGAGCCGCTGTATCAGCCCTCTCGCCCTTCCACCTCCGGGAACCAAGCACCAGGCAATGAGAGGCCGTGGCCCAGAGGCACAACGCCCAGGGGAAAGCGTGTCCTCCGAGGGGCACAGGAGGAGTCCTGCTCAAAATTACACTGAAGCTGCCCCTGTCCACTTCACCCTCCCTGAACCGAGGCAGAGGCAGGGAGGGAGATTCACCAAACTGGCCGGTGGTGGACCCTAACCACCAGGAAGAGGAAAAGCTGCAGCCTCACCTGGGTCCAGGAAGAACCCACGCGGCGCCTGGGGCCCCTCAGAAACTCTGGGGTCAGGTGGACAAAGGCGGCAGTTAAGGCTGGGAAGTGCCCAAGGCCAGGACTTGGGACCCTGTAGGATTCACTCACGCAGCAGCTCACCTCAATGACCCTCACCACCACGACAAGGGGGCCTCGGAGGGGCTTCAGGCGATGCCTTCCCTGAATAAAAAATGGGGTAAGTGGTCACGATGGTTTACTCGTGAGACATGATGGGGCACAGAGATGTGGTCAGCGCTGCCAGTGAGGACGCGGGAGTCATTTAACACACCAGAAAGGAGTCAGACCAAGACTCAGGGAGTGGCATGTAGCCTTGGGAGCCTAGAGTCAGTGACAACAGGAAGCCTGAGGGCTTTCCCATTTCTCCCTTGGAAATGAAAGAAGTCTGCACAGGCAGGAGGTCAAAGGTGACAGGGAGTGACCCAGGAATTCTCACTGTGTGTCCTTATCTGCACACGGCCAACTTGTCTGAGCACTCAGGAGCGAGAGAGGTAAGTGTATGTGTGGTGACACACCCATGTAAGTAGACATATAGGCAAGATATCTGTTGATCATAGACAATTGGAACAGGTAAGGTAGTAAATGTCTGCATTTCACGTGGGATTATCAGTCAGCTGAATTTTTTGATATAACACTGTTAATTTCTTATTAAGAATATTCCTAGTAATTTTGAAAAGTTAGGTGAGGGGTAAACATGACACTTACAAAAGGTTATTGGATTAATCAGCTGGGAAAATAAGTGACAGGCTGGGGGCCATTTCAAGGCTGGGGGTGCACACAATGGCTCAAGTGCTAGGTCAGGAGGAGAGGGGAATGGCTGGGATCCACGAGCACCCCGCTGGCTTAGGTGACTCGCTAGGAACTTCACAGTAAGTTTCCACCCTCCGAAGGTAAACGTCCTTCCTGCTGTCTACCTGCTTTCTCTGCACCTGCCCTCTCTGGTCTAGTTCTTTCTTCTAGTTCTTTCCCTTTTAGACCAACGCTCTTCCCCATGGTTTCCTGTGGCATGATACTGCGCTCTCCACTCAGTCCCAAATGCTGAACCTGGGGCCGGTTCAAGACTAACAATCTCCAACCAGCTTTCTCTGGAGCCCCTGGTTCTTCCCTGCGTCTCTCCCCAGTGTCACTCCACCGTGCACCCTTCATGAGCGTCACACATCAGCCTCACCCGTCTGTAAAGTGTTCCTACCTTAGCGACCAATGTTAAATGAAAGGAATGAATCGATGGAGACCACACACCTGCAGCCCTTTCAAGAACCAGGCCTCGTGAGACAGCTGAGCACACGACCCTGAGTAGCCAAAGGCCCTGAACACCCTGGTGCATGGATGGATGGACACTGTTTTGTGATCCCTGTCTATATTCCCAGTTTCTCTGCTCCCATTGATGCTGCTCACTCAGTGGCTGATTGGGCATTTACTCTGGCTAACGAGGCACTTAGACATGTGTGGACCAGAGCCTCTTGTGAACTCCAGTGCCTGCTAAGTACACTTGGAGTAGGCTCTGGACAACACACAAGCCTGGCCACAGTCTAGGGACACGAGATGCCCAAGGGACAGGTGTACCAGGAGTGATAGGTCTTTACTCTGAGAGTCCGGAGGCAGAGAGGCTGGCAGGGGTGAGAAGCACTTGGAGGCCGTGTTGGCACTTGAGACCCGGGTGGCCAAGGAGCTGGATGAGATGTGGCAGTGGCTCCAGGGATGGAACGGAAAGATGGATGAGGGCGTTTTGAGGAGGATCTGCCAGGACTTACGCTCTTGGGTCTTTTGTTCTTCCCAACATTCCTCTGTGCCCTTTGCTCAAATGTGTCTAAATGTTAATTGATCAACCTAGAAATGATTTTACCTGGATGAGCCAGGTGATAGAGAAGTTATTAAAGGTTAAATAAAGTCCTCAATCACATGCAGAAAGAATTATAAATGCCTCGCTTAACATAACTGGAAAGTTATTTGTAAGCAACACTTTCTCTGTTTTTATTAAAGAAATAATCCAGAAACCCTTTGTTCACTGAATATTAAGTGTAACTGAAAGAGGTTTTATTTAAAAAATAATGGCAAGCTGATCCTGTACATTACACAAAGTAATACTGTTGTGCGGTATTCCAGACATGTAAACTGTGATAAAATTAGACCTCTAGTATCTGCAAAATGACATTAATGTGTTCATATTTATCTCCTAACGTGCAGTTTCATCTGCTTTCTACCTCATTTGTGATCCCCCTCCCATCTGCTTCTCTGTCTCGGTGCATCCAATTCTTCCGTGTGAGCACATCTTCATTTGTACTCATTATGAGAGAGGCCGTGGCTCCAGATTCCCATTAATGTGACATACGCTGAGAGCAGTGTACTAGCAATGTCGAGATATGGAAAGATAAGGAGCAATTCCAAGTTTTCAAGGAAGTCTTAAGCTGGCGGAGTGGGCAGGACAAGGACACAAACAGTTGTAACGTAGGGAACGGAATTTTAAGTTACGTTGGAGATGCCTCCCAGGTAGTTTCTTTCTATGTGGAGTAGGTTGATCTGTGTGTGACAGGAAGAGTGCAGACTACCTGTGACTTCAGAATGACATCAGAAAAGACACCAGATCTCGCCTGTTTTCTCCCGTACGTTGGGGGGCCCCAGGACCGTGAGCGGCCGCCTTGTGAGAAACTCAACAGCCGCCTGGGGAAGTCTGCGCGTGAACAGCTGGGCCTCCAGCCCACGGCCAACACCAACTTGGCAGCCACTTAAGTGAAACCTATTTAAAGTAGATCCTCCAACTCTGGG